CTGGGTTTGAAGCCCACCTCCATTACTTGAAGTGAACTGGATTAAGTTGGTTAATTTCTCTGTGCTTCAGTCTCCTCATTGGCAAAATGGGAATAATATTCCTTGACCACATTTCTGAAATCCCCAAAGCTCTGAAAACTGGAAAGATTTTTAAAAAAATTTTGTTTGGCAACACAACCTGACTTGACCATAATGATTTGATGACAAAACCCTATCTGAATGGAATTGTGAACATTTATGGTCATTATTTACTCCACTTAGAATATTCTTCCATTTTATGGTACAACCATCTGAATTCTATAATATGCTGTTTTACTTTTCAAAAATACAACGTCTGAGTTGTGAAACACACCTGATCTGAGCATTTTGGAAAAGAGGTTTTGTACCTGTAATATCTACCTCATAGGTTTTTCATAGGTTGCTTGCTGAAGAAATTAATATTTGTAAAGGAATTAGAATAGTGTGTGGCCCATAGCAAGCCCTATATAAGTGATAAAGTTAACATTTTATGTAATATTTAACCTTAGAAATTAAGTGAAAGATGATCTACTTTGGGTGTCAGAACAGAGTTTGATAAACTTTAAGTCCTGCATCGAAGCTGGGTTACTGCCATCACTTTCCTGTTAAAAAGAAATCAAACATTAGAGAGACAGCAAACGCCCTTTTGAGTGGCACCTTGACCCTCTCCCTGCTCAGAACTAACCACTATTCTGAAGTTGGGGTGTGTGTGTGAATCTTTTCCATGCATGCGATTTTAGTACATATATGTGTCCATGGTGTATATTTTTTAAAGCTTTGTATAAATGCTATCATAGTATACATATACAATCTCCTTTTTTCAACTCGATGCTACCATGTTCACACATGTAGTCTAGCTTAATTTTATTAAGGGCTCCTGTAGTATGCCATTGTGTGAACATTCTACAGTTTACTTCCCCATGTCCTATAGATGGGCACTTAATTTGTTTCTGATTGTTTGCTATTACTATGCTGCAGTGACCATTCTCATGTGCACCTCCTTGTGCCCACATGGGAGAGTCTCTTGAGTATATATATACCTGGGAGTAGGATTGCTGGGTCACGTGTGCATGTTTTAACTTTATAAGAAAATGCCACTATGCTCTTCAATATGGTGGATCAATCTATACTCCCACTGCAGTGTGAATTCCCATCTCTCCACATCCTTGCCACATTTGGCACTTTCATTCTTTTTAAACATTGGCCTATTTGAAGGGTGTAAAATATCACTCTTATTGTAATTTGAAGCTCTCCAATTACCAGTGAGGTTGAACATCTTTTCTGCTGTAAGTGGTCTACCTGCCTTCATCGTTTAATATTGTGATATAATAAGAAATACATATTTGGTCTCTGCTCCTGGTTCCTGAGATAGAGCTCCTGAAACCCTTGTAGATAAAGGGACTAGGATAATCTTTTGTTCTAATATCTGGTTTTTGACACCAGGTCCTGACACAGAGCTCCTAAATACCTTGGAGCCACCTATACCTAGGTGATGGGAGTGGCCTTTTGTTCTAATGAGGCAACTCTTGGGGGGCTCCTGGACAGTCTCAGGATAGGGGCTGGTGGCCAGGAGAACCAACCATGCATTAGAGGGTGGGAACTTTCAGTCCCACTCCCAAAATCTGGGGAGGGGAGACGGGCTGAAGGTTGAGTTGATCACCAATGGCCAATGATTTAATCAATCATGCCTATGTAATGAAGCCTTCATGAAAACCCAAAAGGACTGGGTTTGGAGAGCCTCTGGATTGCTGAACATGTGGAGGTGCCTAGAGGTGAAGTACCCAGAGAGGCATGGAAATTCTGCAGCCTTCCCACATCCTTGCCCTCTGCATCCGTATCCTTTGTAATATCCATTATAATAAACAGGTAAACATAAGCGTTTCCCTGAGTTTTGTGACCTGTCCTAGAAAATTAATTAATCCCAAGGAGAATGTTGCAGGAACCCCAATTTATAGCCATTTTGTCAGAAGTATAGGTGACAACCTCCTATTTGTGATCGGTATTTGAAGTCAGGAGAAGTCTCGTGGGACTGAGTCCTCAACTTGTGGGATCTGATGCTAAGTTGAGGTAGATAGTGTCAGAATGGAATTGAATTGTAGGAAACCCAGTTGATGTCTTCCAGAGAATTCTTGGCATGTGTGGGGAAAGAACCCCCACACATCTGGTGTCAGAGTGTTCTGTGTTGTACTGAGTGTGAGCGTAGAGCGAAAAGTATTTTTCCATCAGACATTGGCTCATCCAATGTGAATTCTCCTCAGCAGCAGAGGTGGCCTTGCTAAAGGCCCTGTGATCCTATCAGCTAAGACACCCACAGATTCTCCCATGGGTGCAGCGAGAGACATTTACTTAGCTCTGCGTGCCCAGATACTCTCACATAGGCATGAGAAAGAACAGCCATCAGATGGTCACCAGCAGACAGAAGCAAAAATAGGAGTTAGAAGAGAAAGGGGTGAGAAAAAAATCCCCAGACTGAGAACCATGGGTCTCATTTTTACATTTTTTGGGTAAACTCATTTGCTGGCAGCTAGTAAAGAGGTCAGACTGGACAGTCCACCCTTGACTGGGCTGGCTCAGGTCATCAAAACAAGTAACCCGGCTCCATGTGGATTCTCCAGAACACCTTGAGAGTCCAGCTCAGGTGTTTACCTGACATGCTGATCCCGTGTCCTGTCTGCCAGCATCCCAGTGCCCCCCAAATGGGGCTTCGACCTCAGTCAGTTACGGTAGGTCTGCACCAGCTCCCTGCAGAGCTCTCTCAAGCCTCCTTCTAGAGTTTTGGGAGAAAGCTCAAACTCACTTGTCAAGTGCGCTTGGTGATCTGGCTAGTACCTATGTGTCTAGCTTCTCTGTAGCCAGCACCCAAGGGAACTCTGTCCCAGCTTCACCAAACCACTGGGAGTTCCCCAAACATGAGAGGCTATTTGACAGCCCTGGGCCTTCCCTGACAATCACCTTCCTTCTCCCTGGAGTTTGCCTCCCAGGAGACATTTGGCAATGTCTGGAGGCATTCTTGGTTGCCACAGTGGTGGAGGGCGTGCTACTGGCCTCTAGTGGGTAGAGGCCAGGGGTGCTGCTCAGCACCCTACAATGGATGGGATAGTTTTCCCCGCGCCCCACCAACAAAGAATGATCTGGCCCCAACTGTCAATCGTGCAGAGGCTGAGAAGCCTTCCCCAATGTGTCTCTTCTCTGTGCTATTGCAGCTGTCTCTAGCAGGTCACCAATGCAATTGCCATCACTGCACACCTGCCCACCTCCCCAACTAGAATGCAAAGTCCCCAAGGGAAAAGACTATGGGTTAGCTAACTGGGATGGAAGGGACTCAGATATTTGCTGAATAAATGGATGAACAAGTCATGGGTGACTCCTATTATAAATTACACCTGGGAAGGACGGGTGGGTGTGAGGTGCCCAGAAGCCAGCGCATCCATTTGAAGAGCTGACAGGGAAACATTTCTCCATATTGGGAAGTTTTACACATGGGACTCCCACTGGCACTTTTTGGCAATTTTTAAAGACAGGGAATAAATGTGTCAATATTTATTGAATGTTTACCATGTGGCCAGCACTGTGTTTTATAGGCACTACTCAATGTGGTCCTCACAATGACCCCACTGGGAGGTAATTAGTCACACTCATTTCAAGGACGAGGATGGAACCAGAAACATCCAGAGGCCAGAGTAACACACCCCAAGTCACAAAGCCAGCAGGGGTGGGCCCAGCATGGTGATTTCTTTGGGAGAAGTTATGAGTCCTTTGTAAAGAGAAACATTTCACTCTCAAATAGCTAAGCACCTGCTGCATTTACAGGCTTTAGTTTGTACTTGTGTCTGAGTCACACTTATTTTATATTGTCGTTAGGTGTATGAGTTGAAAATAAAAAGGAGAAACACTAAAGATTTGGGATTTCAGTTATGTGTCACCTCAGGAGAAAGTTAATTCTCATTTTTGTCTCCAATATCTCCGCACAAATTGCAACTCCAGTAATAAAATGAGAGCTTGAAAAAATAAGCACCCGGGGCTGATGAAAGCAATACGTTTGTCTCAGGGCAGGGGCTGAATGTGAGGCTAAGTGTTCTTAGGGAGAAACATGTCAATACGAAATCTTTTCACCAACCTGTGATGGATGTGCTAATCTTCTCAAGTCAGCACGGGTTCACCCTGGCAATGCACTGTAATAACTTATTTAAAAGGCAGCTGGCTTTTATAAATGACCTGCTCCATCAACTTTTAGATTTTCATTTTCAGAAATGTATTCCCTTATCAAAACAGCATTTGCTGTATATAGTAAGGGCTCACTTATACATTTTCTGTAACAGAGAAGACTGCTGAAGTGACCAGGTTTGGGAGTTACTGTTCTTTGCTCTCAATTCTGTAAGACATTCAAGCTTTGTAGAGGCAATGAGATAGATAACAAATGTTGGACACACTTGATGTTTTGGCAAGGTGGGGGGGGCGGGGGGGGAGGAATGGCAGGGGCAATGTATGTAACCCTAACAATGTTTGTACCACCATAATATGATAAAAGGAAAAGAAAAAAGAAAAAAAAAAAAAAGAATGCCAGGTAGGTGATTTTCATTCCATGAAAGCAGTGGTTGGCAAACTAACATCTGTAGACCAAATCTGGCCTGAGGCCTGTTTTGTTTTATAAATAAAGTTTTATTGGAACATAGCCACACCCATTTGTTTACTTACGGCCTATGGCTGCTTTCACACTACAAGGGCAGACTGGAGTAGTCACCACACAGGCCATGTGGCCTGCGAAGCCAAAAATACTTGCTCTCTGGCCCTTTCCAGTGCAGGCAGGCCAGCCTCTGCATTAGACAGCCGTAGTATTTGTCTTACCACCCGCTTGGATCCTTTTCAGTTGGGGGCTAAAGGAGTTAGAGTCAGAGAAGACATCTGGCTTATTTAAGGCATTGGGCGGGTTCAGGCAGGTTAAAGATAGAAGAAAATATAAAAAAACAAAACACTAGGCAGCATCTCTAGGCAAGAACTTTAATGAATTGAATAGTTTACTGACCACCTCAAAAAATCAGTATAATAGATACAAAATTATCATTTCATGTCAGGAGAAAATTTCTCATGTTGGCAATAGTACGTGTGGCTGGCATATTACATCCCCCCTGTGATGGGCCCATTGGGACGTTGGTGAACACGCCTATATCTCAGTATAAAGTTCCCTTTCCCTGACAACCGTACAAGAGGAGAGATGAAGAGGGTGAGGCTGAGGACCCTGCGCCGAAAGCACTTGCAGGGGTCCCTGTGCCCAGGGGTCAGAACTTTAGGGGAATGACCGGCCAGTATTTGGGCTGCTTTCTGTCGCAGTGCTTGTCAAAGCTCAGCTGCACCGCAGCCTCCATGGCCTGGATCTTGGCAGCGCTGTCCCCGTACAAGCGCTTCATCTCGGCCTGGCGCCGCTCGCCTGGCCTCTCCGTCGGGGGCTCCACTGACCGCCGGGTGTTGCAGTACAGGTCATGGTCGGCGTTCACGTAGTCGCCCAGGCGCTCTGCGTCCAGCTGCTGCTGCCGCCCTGAGGACGAACACGAACATGAATGGAAACACGCACGGGTGCACATGTGCACACAGGAGGGGAGTGTGGTGAGGACGTGCCATCTGCAGCCCCCTGAGGTCCCTCACTGTTCCCTCTCCCACTGTGGAATCAGGGAATCTCCCACTGTGCAGCTGAGATGCTCACTAGATTGTGATACGTGCCAGGCAGATTATTATCTACTTAGTTATGAAGCTCACTGGTCACTTTCCAAGGGGTTACTGTACACTGAGAGACATGGCAAAAAGCTACAAGGAAACTTGCCACTCCAAACTTCCAAACCTCTGCCTCGAGCCCTGAAAATGCAAGAGAAAAATGAAACCACTCGGGGTTCTCTTTTTATATCTATGTGGCCCGCCCACAACCTGCCTGGCTAGGAACAGTTGATGAGCTTGCTTGGCTTCAAAAACTGGACAAGGCCAGCATGGAAACGAAAAGCTTCCTGGAAGGTCCAGTGTTGCAAGCAGCAGTACTTACCACCACAAATGGGGTGGTGAGGAAAGTAAAAATCACCCTTCTGGAAGAGGTACTGATTTTAGGTGACCTGGAAGAGAACAAGTGCTAGTAGCTACAATGCAAGAACGCTGACCCTTCCATAGCTTCAAAGCACAAATCATATCAAACAATGGAAGGTGACATGATTCAACACTCGCTGAAGGAAAAAGGATGAAGAAAGTGCAGTTTTGCAAATGAAATTAAGCCCCCCCCCCCGACTTCTAATCTTCTTGCTGTATTAGCAAATCTGCAAGAGTGGGTTGGCTTTTCCACTATGGGATTTGACTTTCTACTTCCCAGGTTAGCCTAGGTTAAACTGCAAGTGATGTAGTTATATATTTTGAATCTTACTAATTTAAATGGATTCTTATAAAGCAAGAAATATTTATTCAATTTATTCTCCCCTCTACATTTTTGACTATAGCAAGTCCCACTATCGCAATTTTTATTCTTATGAAAACAGCAACATAAAAATATCAACAAAGCAATGCTGCATAAGGTAAAATTTAGCCAATTTCTGTAGATTTTATAAGCGACTCTGTCAAAAGAGAAATTGGTAGAAGAAAGCACTTCTGTAGCTACTGTGGCTACCAAGAGAAATGCTATCAGATAAGGAGCAAAGATGGCTACAGGGGAATAAAACAATGCTATCAATCATTCTTTCCTGGTTGGACCTCTCTCCACTAGTACCTGGAAGGGAACACGGTAGTGAGCTAATCAAGTATGAATGGAAAGATATTTATAAGGCTATGCACAGTCACTCTCATAAATCCTGTTCTTTATATATAAATGTCTTAGAATATCTAGTTTATTTTTACCTAAGGAAGTAATATATGGATGAGCCAAATGACTATCAAACAGAATAAATGCTGTATAACTGCTACCTCATCCACAGAAAGAAGATGAGACTGTCTGTCTGTGAAATGCAGAGCTAACCCCAAACACTGGCCTAACCTACAAATGAATAGGAGGTCAACAAGCATTTGTTTCTACGTTTTGGTCCTTCTGCCATGTTTGAAACACCAGCATATATATAAGCTGTTCAGTTCTCAGGGGTGTTTAAATTCTCTGCCCCCTAAGTGAGTTCTGTTGGAGTGGTGTGGGATTAGATGAACTGGGTCCTGATTAGCCAGAGAAAATGGCCATTTCTAGACATATCCCTGCCTTCCACGCTACCTTCTAGGGAGAGAAAAAAACATCCAACGGTGAGTTAGAGAAAAGGACTCGACTATTGCCGCGACTGCTTCTTACTGTTACAAGACGCCTGTGTGCTCCTGGCGCCGAGGCTGTGGGAACTAGCTTCTCCCTGGGAGTGTCTCTCTTCTGCCTGTCTTGGGATGATTCAACAAGACTTTGAAGGACAGCTTTGCTTGGTGCTTTCAGGAGGCAGAGGAAAGGTGACCCAGGACACTGGGTTTTGGGGTGGGCAGTACAAACTGGTAAGATATGTTCGGTCACCATGAATTCGCACAGGAATTTCACACTTGCCTCTTCCCAAAATGGCAAGCACAGCACTTCCTAAGAAGTCTGACCAGGAAGGGAATTGAGGGCCCTGATGTGGCTTTCTGGGACAGCTGGAATTTGACTGAAGGATCCCTTCAAGGACTACACTCTGAAGGCCTGGCTTTCCCAAATTAGCACAACAGATTCCTCTTCCACCCACGGGCAGCCTTGGGCACGTCACCAATCCTTCAGCTCCCTTCTGTGGCTCTTCTGCCTGGGGGAGATGATCCCACGCTGCAGGGCTGCTGGGTGGCTCGAAACCTCTGCATTCACAGGGCAGAGTGTGGAGCCAGTCTTGTTACTTTCAAATTCATCCCAAGACTATAATCAGTTTCGCCAACAGATCTAGTGAAACAACAGATGTTCAACTTCCTGTCTAAATCTGAGTCTCAGAGTTTAGAAGTTTTAACAGACACTGGGATCTTGGCTATCTTAATAAGTGTTGTTCTCTGCCATTAAGATATGTGAATTTAACCTTTGTATTTTTGCATCCTTTTCTTTTCCCCATAATTTAAAATGTTCAGAATCACACTTCTTTTTGCTACTTTTCTGACAAAAACTACCTTACAGATATTAAATAGATATAACAATGATCTGGAGAGAGATGTTTTCTCTTATGGACATCTGTGAATGAAACACCATGTCAACACAAAGCAAGCTCAGTAGGCAATGAGGCCGTGCAATTTTCCAAGTCTGCACTCAGCGTGTGCTTGTGGGTCACTATCACACAATTTTAGTTCTTAATAAAGTTCGTACCGGGTAAGACTAAAAGAATAAAAGACATAGCCCTATGCCTGCATTCTCCATTTGTATTTCACTTCCATTCAGGTTTTCTCATGAAAATTTAAGGCCCAACCCTTGTCCCCTCCCTGCCTCTTGAGATTTGGAGGTTTCATGGTTTCCTGCATAGTGGACAGTCACCCTAAAACACTGACCTAAAGGGCAAGATGTCTGTCATCTCTACTGACAGAACCTGCTGTCGCCTGTGAGCTGCCCTGCAGGGGTCATTTACGGGGAAAGGGCACTGTCACCTTTACTTACTTATGTACCCCCAGCCCCAGGAGGAAGACGCAAGGCCTGACATAAAGCAGGTGTTCAGGAAATGATTGTTGAATGAATGTTCGGACAAATGCCATACATTATGGGAGGAAAAGAGGAAACAACTCTTTTCCTTCCAGATGCTGTCAAACAAAAATGATGATAACCCAGGGATAGAGAAACAGATGCTTAAGTCTCAAAAGGTGCTGGGTTCCTCGTGAGTTCCTCAGAGCCTCCCAGGCAGAGGGGCTGGGGCGAAGGGGAGGACCAATGAGTTGGGGTCGAACCCTGTTCCCTTATATTAGAGTCGCTTTGCCTCCACTTACGCAATTAAAATTAAAAAAAGAGTTCTAAAGCCATACTACAAATTTAAAAACCAGTCAGCTTAAGACCAAATACCCTCAGACTCGCTGTGCATTGATGGTTGCAGCTAGTATCTGAAAGCAGTTTAGCGAGTACTAACTTAGGGGACCAGGGAAGCCTTTGAATGGAATATCTGAGTTTGAAGGCGTCTATTTACTCTGCTTCCTATTTTCTGCTTCCTTTCTGCCTCCCAGTGAAAGAGAGGATTGTCAATCACTGGCAGTTTTTCTTCCTGTCAATGCAAGGTGAGGGCTCAGCCAACCAGACAGAGAATTATCTGACCGAAGGGAGCAGAGAAGCATGAATATCACACTTCAGACACAATTGAACAGTTGCTTTGTCATGGACAGTTCGGTCATTTTTATTGAAAAAAAAGCTGTAGGACTCAATGTTACCAAGTACTTTGTTCTTGAAGGGTATTTGGCCAAGGCAATTTGTTTTAATACACATCTAATTCTAAGATTCATCCCAGCTTTAAGACAGGGTTGTAGTAGATTGAATAGTGCCCCCTCAAAATATGTGTTCACTTTGTGACATTATTTGGAAATAGCGTCTTTGCAGATGTAATTAAAGAAAGAATCAAGAAGAGATCATAGTAGCTTAGGGTGGGCCCTAAATCCAATGAGAGTCATCACAGAAAAGAACACACAGAGACACAGGGGAAAGCCAGGTAAATACGGAGGCAGAGGTTGGAATGATGCTGCCATGAGCCAAGAACACCAGGAGACACCAGCAGATGGAGGAGGCAAGGCCCTAGAGCCTTTGGAGGGAATGTAGCCCTGTTGACACCTTGATTTTGAACTCCTAGCCTTTGGAACTGTGAGAGAATAAATGTCTGTAGTTTTAATCCACCAAGTTTATGGTAATTTGTTACAGCAATGCTAAGAAACTAAGATAAGGGTTAATATGTATATAGGGTTAAAATAAGAAAAATAGTATATATTATTAAGGAAAAACTTTACTGGATTACATCTGGGTTTTGGATACATAATCTTGATTATTTTTCACTTCAATCTACAGATCTACATGATGTTACCAATGTAAGGAGTTCCTTATAGCACATAAAAGAAAATAAAATCATGGAAAGTTACTGGGACTTTACCGAATCTTAAATAGGAGGGAAAAATCTATTCAATATTACTCCACAGATAATAAGCCCAAAGGCAGAACATTTTTTTTTATTTATTTATTTATTTTTCTTATTTTCGTATTTGACTGTGATCAGCACGGGCAGAACATTTTGAAGGACAAAGCACTAAGACAGTGAGTGTCTTCCCTCATTTTTCTAGGACTAGCATGTCTTTCTAATTATGTTCTCTGCTATACTGCCAAAATTAATGATTGTAGCATAACTCAGGGAAAATACAGACTTGATTTGTCTCACGAACGCCTCATTTCTGGCCTGTCGGCAACCACCTAGAACACAGGTGCTTACCAGTAGAACCACCAGAGCCATTTCCGATTGGTCCTCTCTCCTCATCCTGTGTCCCTTGCTCCAAGACAAATGCAATACCAAAGTTAGTGGACAATCACCATTTTCACTTTCACGACAAAAGTGCGTTTACGTCCTTCCCTTATATTTT